GCTTTTGCTTTACCTATTAAACTGCCTTTATCTCAACCCACGAGTTTTCTCACTTTTACCCTTCTGATTCTCTCCCCCGTCCCACTGGGAGCAAGCGGCTGGGTGGTGCTTAGCTGCCAGCTGGGGTTAAACCACAACACAAGAGTAAAATAAACCCTGTGTGTGTGGCTCCAACAACCTGATGTCCTGTTCCTTTGCAGCTACGGAAATATTGCATCACATTCTCGCCAAGGTCAGTGAGTCCTTGGGAAAGCAGCCAGTGAAACAGGGCCCTGGGAGAGGGAGAGACTTTTCCAACTCCCTCTACAGAATAAAAACGTAGCAGCAGAGCTCCTTTGTTACATGTTCACCACTGTAGCTTACAACAAAAAGCCTCATTTCACTTTTAAAATACTCAGCGTTGTGTGGTTTTGCTTATTTTCTTAATGAATAATTGAACTGCATCATATTCCACTCCTATATGAAGTTCTGGATGAGCCTTTTCCATTTCCATAGCAGATATAGGGCATTATGCATGATAAGTCTGTTTTGTTCTAATTTTATTTAGATGCGATACTGTTTTCCATTAGAAAATTTAAGGAAAGAAAAATACACAGTGTTCAAGCAGAATTATGCCAAAAACTTGTTATGCTAACTGATTTAAATGGTCTGAGTGTTTAAACATATATTGGTTAAACGATCCTTAGCACTGGCAAGTGGGGGAAGATTGGTTTTGGAAATGGGCTAAGGAAATGAATTAGGCCCAAACACAAATCTGTGTTTTCTGTCTTCACTCTTACTTGTTTTCGATTTCTAATAGAGTAGGATGTGTTTCTTCACACAGCGTTTTCTTCTTCAGCTTCATACTGATGTTCTGCTCCTTTGACTACTGGCAAAGTTGCTACATTAAAACCTGTGAATAAACTTCATATCAAAAGGTAGCAACCTATTTTAATTACTTTTCCACATGCTGAGAATATCTGCAGGGTGATTAATATAATTTGGTTTCATAAAAAATCAAGTTAATGAGAAATAATATCTTTCTCAGGCTTTCCACCCGGAGAATGTAAGTCCCTACTAATAAAAAGAAAGAAAAGCTTTTACTTCAGAGTAGGATTGCTAAACTGAATAAAAACTACAGCAGTTATATATAATTCAGAATCCATTTGCACATTAAGAAACTTACAAATCCTAACCAAAACTGGATTATGTAGTTACATCTAGATATTTAACATTGTCTCATAAAGAACAAGAAAAGTTGGGAAATTGACTCCTCTCACACTCTTCTAGATTATTAAGGTGGTTTTAGCTTTTAAATGCAGGTATCTTACACCCAGTTCTCTGGATCTAGAAATTTAATAGTGAAGATTCACGTTCTTAACATTTGGTGTTTGAGCAAGGACTTTTCAATTTTCGATTTCTATTCTTCTTTACTTCTTTTTCAGTTGTCTTTAGCTAGAGGGAAGGGCTATTTTACTGGAACATCCACATTTACTTTATTGTTATGCTGTACAATATCAATAATAACCAGGGAAGAATAATACATGCAAAATATGACTGGAGAGACAGAAACTGGAAAGGCACTAAAAGTAGCCATAATTAAGGTACGATAAGTAATAATAGCAAAGCATTACCAAAAATAATCGGAATAGTTTTCAATCTACAAAACATGCAGGTAGGTTATTACAGACTCTCTTTTACTCATTATTTGGAAGACAATTAATTTGATGTAGCATGCAAGGAGAGTTTGACAACAAGATTCAATACTTTCTACACCAAAACCGGTCTGCATTGTTAAGCTGCACTGCTGAGCCACCAAACACAAATGGGGTGGAATACCCAGAAATCAGACACAGAAACCTGCATGTAGCATCCCTCATAGTGAGTAACGAGAAACAGACATTTTAAGGATGTAACTTATCTTAAGGCAAACATTTCAAACAGTGCAGATGAATCTTACTTTAGAAGAGCTGTCTTTTCTCTAATGGGAGTCTAGGCAACCAGAGTGGGGTCCAGTCAGAGGTTACGACCACCTAAACCTAGGTGCTTGAGCTGTTTTACTCTGCAGAGATGCAGACATTATGCCAGAGCCTAAAGAGTGATTGAGCTGTCCAACCACTAGATACAGGATTCAGATGCGCAATGCTGGCAGTTAGGGCCATTTTACCCATCATTGGGTATCCTGGGTATCACACTGAGAAGCAAGAAGGGTACAAATCTCTCTGAAGTGTGTCATATTTGCCAGCCCCATGTAGTTGGCTTAGATCAACAGAGTGTTTCAAATGGCACTAGTGAAAATACTTTTAGGAAAGTGAATCCTGCCCTACCCAGATGCCACTGCCCTGCAGTGATCTGATTACACGAACACAGGATAACGTAGCAAAATCAGATGCTTCAGTGGTTTTCACACCCTTTTTACAGAGAGAAAGAAGTGTGTATGCTGGACCATTCTGAGGAATTCTTTGAGGCTCTGGAAAAGGTCTGGAGCCACCTCCATAAGACATACTATAGCTAAGAAATTTGGCTTTCCAAGCAGGATCTTCAGCAGGGGGTTCAGACTGACTGACCAGACATACTTGAGATCCAAAAGAAGGAAGTCCATGCAGACATGAGATGGCATGAAGATGGCACATGCCACACTACTCCATGCTAAAAGGCCCTTTGCCTCACTCACTTTGCCTAGTTCCTCCATGTTAGGTAACAAAGCAGGACCTATTGCTTCCTAAAGAAAAGTTGATGAGAAAGTCACACCATTGCTATTAGTTTTTATGATATTGGGGTACAGGGTGAAAAAAATTCCCTGGGTTGATCAGGCAAGCATTAATATGGGGTAAAACAAGCATTATTTGAACAAGAAAAGCACATGTTAACAAATTGGTTCTAAATATGTGTTGCAGAACTGAAGTTTAAAAAAAAATCAAACCCTAACTGAACTGTTGCCAACAGCAAAAATAACTCTCCCCAACTAAGAAATCTGCAAATATTAAAAGTAGGATGTGTTCATTTTCAGTTTCTGTTAAACAGACTGGATGAAGAGCCTAGTTGCTCAAGCATAATCATTTCTATGTCTTTTTAGCTGAATTCACTTTTGGTCAGCTTCTTGCCTGCTACATGCAAAATACACATTCTTGGTCAGAAGGGTGTCCTATGTCCAGAATTTGTATGAATGGAGTCACATGAATGCGTTAACATTGACCCAATATAAAGTATAAAGATCTGCTGTCAATCAAAACAATGGAAATGAATTTTCATGAAGGTCACACCCTATTTTTTCATAGAATCTGACGAGTTTATGGAAACAACTGTGAATGCTCTAACTTTTCAGGTTTTTTTTTATTACAATTCCAATTCATATTAATTTTTCTCTCTAAAACTTCAGAACTAGTTTCAATGAAATTTCTATACTTGATTCAAAGGCAGGTTATGTTCCAAATTTTATGAAGTCATAAATACTGTGAATGAAATTTTGGATTCATTGAAGTAAATTGCAAAACTCCTTTTGACTTCAAGAAGTTCAGGAATCTAAGCTCTATTCTCTTCTAACGTTTTCTTGAAAATCTATATTCTCTTACCACTGGCTCGGAATTTCTCTACATAAATATTAACCTATACGCTTCTCTCTTTCTTTACATATAGGTGTAGAGGGAGCAAAAAAGAAGCAGAAATACGTATGTTAAAGCACAGTGTCTAAGATGAAGATTTTTTTTTAATAAACAACTTCTGATATAAAGGTGGTGCTGAGGGAACTAGCCAGTGTCACTGCAAGGCTACACTATAACATCTTTGAAAGGTTGTGGCAATCATGGGAAGTTCCTGATGACTGGTAAAACACAAACATCAGACTGATCTTCAGGAAGGGTAAGAAGGAAGCTCTGAGGAACTACAGACCAGCCATTCTCACATCAGTCCCTGGGAAGGCTATGGAGCAAATCCTCCTGGATTCTTTATCTAGGGCATATGATGGACTGGAGGTGACTGGGAGCAATCAGCACGGATTTACAAAGGGCAACCCTGCTTGAGCAACCTGGTAGCTTTCTGTGATGAGATGATCAGCTATGCAGCTGATGGGAAAGCAGTGGGTGTCATTTACCCTGTCTTTACTAAAGTTTTCAGGATGGTCTCTTTAAGCAAAGTGGTGATACAGTTTCAATAGGTGGACTATAATGTGGATGGAAAATTAGCTGGACTGCTGCACTTAAAGGGTTTGTGATCAATGGTATGAAGTCCAGCTGGTAGTGGTGCTCCTTGGGGGTCACTACGGGGGAAGATATCTTTATTATCAATCTGGACAATGAGACAGAATGTACCATGAGAAAGCCTGTGGAAAAAGCAAAATCAGCATGCTCAAGGGCAGGGCTGCTGTTCAGAGGGATGCCAAGAGGCTGGAGAAATGGGCTGACTGGAACCTCACAAAGTTGAAGCAGGGCAAATGCAAAGTCCTGCACCTGGGGTGGAATAACACCAGGCAACAAAACCGTCTGGGGCGATCAGTTGTGCAGAAAAGGGCCTGGAGGGCCTGGTGGGTAAGTTGAGCAATGAAGGTCAAGTGCATTATTGGACTGCATTAGAAAGAGTGAGGTCAGCAGGTTAAGGGAAGTCATTCTTCTGTGTTTAGCACCTGATACTGCATCCAGAGCATTCTGTGCAGTTTTGGTATGTCTAACACACAGAAGATTTTGAGAAATTGGGCAAGCCCGCTTCCAGGCCACCAAGATGATTAGGAAGCTAGAGCACACAACACAGAAAGAAAGGCTTGGTAATGTAGGTTTATTCAGGCAAAAGAGAAGACTAAGGGAGTGGATTTTACTGCTGCCTTCAGCCAGCAAGAGTATTTTGTTCATCTAGACATGACATCTGCAACACAATTAAATGTTTAATCCATTTGTCTTCACATCATTCCAGGATATAAACTCTGATTCTGTTAAGTCACGCACCAGTACAGGTCTGGAGTGGCTGGCTGGAAAGCAGTTTTGCAGAAAAGGACCCCGGGGACCTGGTGGACAAGCTGACCGTGAGCCATCCATGAGCCCTTGTAGCAAAAACCAACTGCCTCCTTGGCTGCATTAAGAGCATTGCCAGCAGGTCGAAGGAGGTGATCCTTCCCCTCCAGTCAGCATTGATGATACACATTTTGTTTGCTGGGTGCAGTTATAGGCTCCTCAGTACAAGAAAGACATGGACACACTGGAGCAAGTACAGCAAAGGGCTGCTAAGATGATTTAGAGACTGGAGCATCTGACATATGAGTTGGGACTGTTCAACCTGCCGAAGAAGAGGATCAGGGGGATCTTAATAACGTCTATAAAAACCTGACGAGGTGAGTAAAGAGGACAGACTCAGGCTCTCCTCAGTAGTGCCCAGTGACAGGACAAGAGGCAACGGGCACAAACTGAAATACAAGGAATTCCATTTAAATGTAAGAAAAAACTTTTTTACTGTCAGGTGGTCACACACTGGCACAGGTTGCCCAGAGAGGCTGCGGAGTCTCCATCCTTGAAGATATTCAAAACCTAACTGGACAAGGTCCTGGGCTACCAGCTCTAGGTGACGCTGCTTTGAGGAGGGGAGGTAATGTAGGTGATCTCCAGAGGTGCCTTCCAGCCTGAACTATTCCGCAATTCTGTAAACAGTAATGTAGGTAACAACATAAAAATCTTCAGCATGCCAGAAAATTGCAAGATTACCTCTTTCCTATAACATTCATGTTCTGAAAACCATACAAACAGCTTTAACAGAATAATTGACTCAAGAAGTCAATTGGGTTTCTTAGAAAATCCACTTCCACAGTGCCAATAGAACACTTGATAAAACATACTTTCACGGGCTTTGAAACAGAGTTAATAAGAACCTCTCTGAAGTGAAAAGGACTAGTTTAGTCTGACAAAATATCAACAGCAAGCAGGACCATTTTGTATGTGGAAACAAGTCACTGAACAAACACAGTCATGGGAGGTTCTACTTCAGAAGAACATTAGTTTCCACGCTCTTCTTTCTGTCTAGGAAGTCAATAGGAGCTTTACCTGAAAAAAACATGTTCTACCTCATGCGTTAATTCAGCACAGACTGTGCAAGAAAACAACAGAGCAAACGCACTCTTATCTGATCTTGGGTTTTTTGGCTATTTTGAATCTGTAGAATATAGCATGGACTTCACTTACTACCTACGAATACTCCTCAAAAACCTAAGCTTAACTAATACCTCTCTGACATTCTCCCTTTCAAGATGAATACTTTTAATTAAAAAAATAAAAATAAACCCTTCCCAAATCCTCTAAATCATCTGAAACAATAATTTCCTATAAAAATGACAAGTTGCAGGAAATTTTGAGTCACAGTATTTCCTTGAACAACATTTCTTCCTTTAACAGAAGGTTTTCCACAATAGCTTTATTGAAGATGATCAGCTTATTTGTGATAGAGAGAATATGGATTAAAAGTTATGGGACAAATCTAGTAGGAGCGGTAAGTCTAACAAACTAGTTTAATTTATTTGTGAGGGAATTTGTCTTTAGTTGTTATTTTACTTACACTGTTATGATTTTGGAACCTACTAACTTCCGAATGATAATGAATGTAATGATTCCTATTACAACTTGTGTATTAAGATTGGTCATTATGTCGTAACGAATGGCATATTACCATTTTAGCTTCTGAAGTTCCTGCAAAAACAACATATTCTATTGTGCATCACATAAAAATAAGGAAACTTGTTAATATGATATATTTTACTATGTAATGTTTAGGTTCCCTTTTTTCCATGTGGTATTTCTGAATTTTTCGAGTAGGTCTTCTCTGGTGGGAAATCTGCCATTTTTACAGTAGGTTGAATACAGAAGAAAGACACTAAACCTCTTTTTTTGCAACATTTACATTTGCTCCTCCATACAGGTGCTTCATTTGGAATACATTGAATCTGTATCGCCGATTGCCCTGTATGGGAAAACAAACCAGACCCAGGAGCTTACTATCTACAACAGACAGCACGTTTTGAATATTTTAATGTAATAGATAATACTATGAATTTAAGGTTACATAACAATCTTGCAGCAGCCATCTCTTGGCTTACATATTAAGGAAAAACAGATGGAGGGTGAGAACTGGTGAAGCACTGGTAATTTGTGCAATACAAACAACATGATTGAGTACAGGGAGCGCAGCATGGGGAAGGCAGAGAGATAAGAGGAAAAATATGCACAGAGTGCAAATAAGGTAGGGATCAGCAAAAGAAACCAGAAAGCAAATAGAAAATTTAAACAGTGCTGGAATTATGCAGGATAAAAAACTTCAATTTGATAAAGAAGAGGAAGAAAAATACCCAGTAGCGTGGTGCCAGAAGTTTTTTGCCAGACTACAATAAAAGTGTCCAAATGGAGACAGTACACATGTAATCAAGAATGAAACTATGAAAAAATGTAAAATTCAGAGATTTTTTT